CTCTGCCTTTCCGATGCCTCGTCCCCCGCTCCCCTCCCCTCCCCTCCCCCCTCCGCCAAAGTCCCCCTGGGAGGCCCCCTTGCCGGCTCCCCGCTCCAAGTGGAGACCGTACCAGACCATCCCTGGAGCCGAGTGCTGATTCCTCGCGGTCCTGAGGGGGCGATCTGAGGCTGCAGATTTGGACTTGACGAATCAGATTCACTCAGCTCCAAGTCTGAACCAGGGGAAGCATCAAAAGATCACCACAGGCCCACCAGCTACCCCTCTTTTTTTATTTTTTTTTCCCCAATGAAATATGATGTGATTTCCCAACATATAAAAGAAGGAGAAAGGAGAGACGGTACCAGCCAGAAAGAAATGCATCTGAGAAGGTCGAGTTTGGGAAACTGACGTGTCCCAAAGGCGACCCGAGAGAACAGGAAGACCGTTTTGATGAACGGACGAAAGCTGGAATCAAACTGCCTCAGTAGCAGTTCCTTTGGTTTATACAAAACCACGGGCACCTTCGGTCTGCCGTGTACTCTTAGGACGCCTTCCGTATCCAGCTCACCCGAAAGATGGCCGGCGAGGACTTTTGTTTCCAAGTTGAGCCTCAAACAATATGCAGCCCCTGCTGGCATTCCTGACCCCACTCGAGTATACGCATGCAGCAGGGCAGGTCGTTCCTTAACTCGCTCCTCCTGGCCGGCCCTGCCTCCAGCAAGGCGTGCCCCGGGCTTTGCCTAGCCTTCTGTGCACAGCCTAGCAGCAGGGCACGTGCTCAAAGGGGCACGCAGGGGCGACCGCTCTAAATAACCGACAGGGTCCATCCCACCGTTGTTCATCAGCGACACAAGCGTGGCATTTCGCACAAACATGCGGATCCGGGCCAGCTGGTAGTCCTAGGTCTGCAGGTGAAAAGCCAGAGAGCTCCAGGGGGTTAAAAACTGGGACAGCACAGACGCGACTGTTCCCAAATAGCTAAAAAAGATATTTTAAAGTCGAATTTACGTTAAATGTCCCTGGCGCCCCCAAAGATCCCCTGCAGAGGAAAACCCAGTTTGAAGACCACCCTGTTCCGTCCCCAGACGGACCAGTCCCATCCCACCCCCCCTCCCCCTCCCCACGAGGCTGGGATGCCACTGAGGCAGCCCATTAGAGACATAACTCACTTCAGGGTATAGCATCTCGTTCTCAGGTGCAGACACAGCGGCCATGGTTGGAAACGTATGAAATGGGTAATCCAACCACATCCAGTTAATGGGGCCATTCCGCTCAAACACTTTACGGCATGTCCGAGGTGTGGTCCCACCTCCTCCAAAATGAGACCTGCCCTTTAGGATGTCAGATTATCTGGAGGGTGAAACGTAGGGGCTTTGGAACTGGCCTGTGCCACTGCCAGCTGGATGACTTCCAACCAGTCACCTCAATCCCTCTGGCCTTGCTCTCTCTATCTGCAAAGTGGGGCAGTAACCGCAGTCTAGCCCGTAGCTGTTGGGATACTTAAATACGGACTCTAAGCAAGTACCCACAAAACAAGGCACGGTGCCTGGCAACAAAGAACGGGCCAGCTTCAGCATTATAATTATATTATATTATATTAGCATGATAATTCTGAGAGAGATGAGCTATGTTCTTTTTCTCTACCTACTCGCAAGAAGGAATCCTATGTAAGTTTGCAGAACTTAATACAGATAATTTAGAAAGGTGGTCTCTTGGAAACAGGACTAACTGACATTCTGGATGTGACCTGAGGAAAGTGGCCCAGTTCAAGACGATATGAGGAAAACACGTTTGTATTAGAACGAGGGGAGTCCGGTGAGTGGTCTCGGCGACGGCGGACCCGTCCCAGAGCACTCGAGGCCATCTGCCATCGCCGGGCCGGGGGCCCTCCCTAAGGATGAGCAGGAGCCACACGGGACCGCAGGTTGGGGTCCAGCACATGTGCAAACAATCATCACGTGGTTACGATGGGGCAAGATCCATTCACTCATTCACTCCCCCATCCATTCATTCATTCATTCGGGTATTTACACACACCCTGTGCTTCCATACTGGAAAGGTCAGCGGGCCTGCCCTGGGGGTGAACCGTCACCGGCTTCTTTAACCGACTGCCCCAAGTCTGTCTTACTCATCGCTTTTTCCCAGCTGGCCCTCTGACTGGTGACTGCGCAAGGCCTTGAACGTCATCTGTGAATCGAGAGGAAACGGACCAGGTGACCTCTACGTAGGGGAACTGTAAGATTTATGGTCTAACAGGGCGCCTGGGTGGCTCAGTCGGTTGAGTGTCCGACTTCAGCTCAGGTCATGGTCTCGTGGTTCATGAGTTCGAGCCCCGTGTCGGGCTCTGTGCTGACAGCACGGAACCCGTTTCGGATCCTCTGTCCCCCTCTCTCTGCCCCTCCCCCACTCGTCCGCACACGCGCGTGCTCTCTCTCTCTCAAAAATAAATAAACATTACAAAAAAGATTTATGGTCTAACAAAGACATTTAAGGGTGAATAATAGCAGGTTATTAATAATCATGCAGGAAAAGCAGGCTTCCACAGGACCAGTGACCACAGGACCAGTGACTGACTCACCTCTCCCGTGCTTTGAACATCACAATGTCACTTACTTTCAGTCCCGCATCTTGTTTCTTGTCCTGCACCCCTGCTGGCTCTCTGAGATCATGAAAGGAAGGGGCACCCCCCCACCACCACCAAGGGGCAGGAGGGGCTGACAAGGACCCCAAGTCTGATCAACAACTAGAATGACTCCTCTCCGGGGAACTCCCAAGCACAGCATGATGGTTGAGTGCACAGAGCCCCCGGGGCTCACCCTCAGGGACTGCGGTGTCCCCCGTCCAGACCCCAAACGGCTCCTCAGACTTCACCTCTTCCTCTCCGTGCCAAGTTCACTGAACCAGGCACAGCCCCACACCGAAGCAGACAGCCCTCGGTTCCCGCCTCTCCTCAAGCTGGAGCTCTCCCCTCGTCCTGGGACCCCCATGCTGCCCATCAGGGCCGCGGGCAGGGAAAGCACTGGCCACGGAGGGAGCCACGGCTGGGTCCAGATCGTGGCTCCTACCTCGCGGTTCTGTCGCCCCAATTACCCAGCCCCGAGCTTCAGTGCGCTCATCTGTAAAGTGGGGGCGGTAAGAACCCACTTACAGGGAAAATCACTGAAATGGCTGCATGAGGTCGTCGATGGCAAGTGTGACAGCAGAGTGCGAGTGGAAGTAGGCACTTCACACACACCAGTTCCTTTCTCTCCCCTAACCGCAATCGGGGCGCCAGGGAAGCTGCATTCCCACAAGACTGAGAAAGGCTGAATCCGCAAAGGGGTGACTTCACAGAGCTCATTCCAGATCTCACAAGGAGGCAGCACCCTGGGCGACACTGGGCGCCTGCACGAGGAGTCCCTCAGGCTCCGGCACCCCATCCCCAGTGCTGCTGGCCCCTGTCCTTCCGTCTCCCCTGCGTCGGGTCACTCCCTCACGAAAGCGCCCTCCCACCCTTACTCCCTGTGTCCCAGTCAACGCAGCCTTCTCCTTCCGCTCACTTCTCAACCTTCCGGAGGCTGGGACCACTCCCCACATCTTCCTGAACTCCTCTCCTCTCGGGTCCTCATCCTCCATCTTCCACTTCCAGAGACTAGACCCCCTGCCGCTCCTCCAGGAAAAGCCCCACTTGGCCAATTGTTGCAAAGGGAAATGTGAGAAAATCCGTTATACCTTCAGAGAATGAGAATTCACCAGATACTGGGGGGCGCCACAAAGTCTCAATAAATGACAGGCATGCCAATGGGATACACACTCGCTCTTGTATTCTGTCCAATACTCTGATTTGTAGTTAGTGTTACAAGTAGTATATTTAAAAAAATTGTTTTAATGTTTATTATCGAGAAAGAGTATGAGCAGGGGAGGGGCAGAGAGAGACAGAGCACGAATAGGGGAGGGGCAGAGAGAGAGGGAGGCACAGAATGGGAAGCAGGCTCCGGGCTCCGCCCCGTGAGCACAGAGCCCGACGCGGGGGCTCAAACTCACAAACTGTGAGTGAGATCGGGACCTGAGCCGAAGTCGGACGCTTCACCGACGGAGCCCCCCAGGCGCCCCCCTCTTAAGTAGTCTGTTTAGAATTAAAATTGGGGGTAGTGAATACGTGCCCGCTCACACCCATGCGACTTTCCGCGTTTCTTTCGAATCCCATCGGCTAATGGTAATGAACCAGCTGGGCACCCCGGGACCCCCGTCTCCCAACCGTGTGACTGTTTCCTCTTCTGCAAGACAGGCGTGCTGGGAAGCGCCCGCCCTGCTGGGGTTGGGGGCCGCATGCGACGACACACACACAAAGAGCTAGCACGGCATCTGGCAGGTGCTGGAGTGGCGGCGCCCAGCGCGTCCCAGCCTCGGGCACGCACCACGCTGCTCCTAGTGGGCGGCCGGCCGAGCGCCCAAGGACACGAGGGGCTGCTGCCCTCTGCTCGGGCCCCCCGGCCGGCGTTTCCGGCTCCGCTCCACCTCCAAATCAGCGCTCTACCTGCCCCAGGTGACGTCCCGCTGGTCCCCCGTCCGATCCTGTTTCCAACACCGCCGTGCCTCTCGATACTCTCTGCTGCTCCAGGGTTATGGCCGCCCAAGCATCAGACTCGGGGCCGCATCCCTGCCACCCGCTTCTCCTCCCAACAACTGTGACAGGGATCGTCACGGGCTGGGCCTGCAGACAGCTGGGCCACGCGTGCCATCAACGGGCCCTGAGGCACGCCACTGGGCCACCTGGCCAAGCACGGCCTCAACTGAGGGTCCGGAAACATCCCCCAGATGAGGGATCCCGGAGGGTGCACTCACCGGCCCCCCTCGGAGCCCTGCCTCACTGTGACGTGTGCCGTAAGTTTTCTGAGTGGAGGCTGGGCCGCCCCCTGACGCCCTGCAATCCTAACCGTGTCTGTGTTCGAGGAGCACACGGCCCCGGGCCTCAGCAGAGCTGTTGATCAATAAAACCGCGCTCCTCAGAGGATGCAAGTGACATCCATAAACCCGCAAGTGTCAAAACATTGGCAAGAAAGTCCTGTGTTCCTCCCGTCAGAGGGTGAAAGCCGGGCGATTAATGCCAGCCCGATGACACCACAAGGACAGATAAAACAAACAGCCGGTGGTTCTGCAGACCAGACTCAGGTTCCTCTACTCTGCCAGCGTCTCCACCATAAATACTGACTCGCATCATGGGCAGGGAGGCATAAATCTGTGCCTAAAAAGGGACGAAGAAAAAGGCTCCAGAAATCTGCCAAGTCAACTTTAAACTTTTGGTTCCGCGGCCAAAAGTATGCCGCACCGACCCCTCCTCTCTTAACTGAGAGCCTCCGTGACGCTAAAGGGGATAAAGAAAAGAAAACCAGGTCAGTCTGGGAACACAGAGTGTAATTCTGCATTTTATGTGCAGTAAAGCCCCCACCCCGGGCCCGGGGCAGGGCTGGTCAGTGTGGGGCTGGGGGTGTGAGCCTCTTCGGGTGAGCGCCGTGGACCTTCCCCGCGACCAGGGACGTGGGGAGTGTGGCCAGAGTCTGGCTTTTGACGAGGACACTCTTTCTTCAGCTCAAGGAGGGAGATGATTGCAGACGTTCTGGAAGGTCTGTTTTCCTTTAGGTAACACACGTTTCCCACCTTGGGATCGGCAGCGGATTTCTGGTGCCACGGCCTCCTCTCCCGTCGGATGGGAGGACGGCAGCACTTGTCCCCCCCACCTGCACCGCCCACCACATGTCCACGAAAGTGGGCACCGTGTCTTTTGTTCCGTTCTGTCCCCGACGCGACAGAAAGCAGGCCGTGGCGCACGGTGGGTGCCCGTGAGTCTTAGTCGTTGACCCCTTCGCAGGACAGTTGTGTGGCTCCCGGGAGAAGATGCCTCCCGGCTTGGCACAGTGTC